ACACAAGCTTCTGCAAATATATTGTCAACAACACTTATGACATGCACATTCTTTGGTTGTACTTGAAAAGAATTAAAAATGTAAAATGGAAGCTGTCAAGGAGAATGGGATAAGATGTCTTCAGCGTGTTACTTGCTAAATGTTACCACAGGTTGGAAAGATCTGTGTATTAAGAAAAGTTCCATAACACCACAAAGACCATACCTATCAATAAGCAGAAAAATTCAATGTTCATGTGACAGAGCAAAATGGAAACTGTTTTTTCATTTTGAAGGAACTCCTGCAGAGCCATTACAGTGGATCAAAAATACACTTACGAACTTGAACATTCTGACGTGCGATTGTTTTATCAACTTTTAATTGTGGCTGAAGAGCAGCTACTTCCCATGGTCTGAACTCTGGTGCTGTGGTAACATTCAGGAGATATTCCATCACTGTATCACTAGATAAAAAAAGGGTACAAAGGCATTAAACTAAACTAACATGTGCTTCTTCTGCAGTTGAAAGCAATTCAAATTAATCTGCAAACAACATGCCAACAACAAAACACATCACTCAGGCCAGAGCAATTATCAGCACTGCTGTACAAAATAGGATAATTCAATTCTGTAGCATCTGTATGCTCAGTAACATGACATTGAAGTTGAATATTAATACAGTAATTTACTGATTTATTGCAAAAGCATGAGAACAGATATTCCTCCCACTCTGTAAAATGACAGGTCTTCACCACCAGTGTTAAAGAAGGCAGCAATTCCCTTTCCAGCCCACCGAGATACCTACACATGGTCTCGCAGACACTCGACAGAATAAGCCATTTTCTCCCTTGTTGCGTGCACACTGCATGAGAAAAAAACCAAAATCCATTGCAGCAAAGAACACCCAAGTGAATTTTAACACACACTCCTCGTTGATCAAATTAATCAAGATACAGACTGGAGTAACTACTTAACCTTAAATCTGTCTGGGATGACTGTTTAAACACACACAGAGCAGAAACAGACTCAATTAAAACTCACATCTTCAGTATTCAAATAATAATATTCAAGTAATAATAAGTGTCTTGACCATCAGAATTTAAGATACCACAATAATTCAAGGTAAAACAGTAAATAAAGTTGAACAGCAAAACATGGGGAAAAAAGTGCCTATGTATTAAACAAAGCAATTTAGAAATTACTCTCTTTGGGCAGAAAACATCCCAAAGGATGTTGGGAAACATCCAAAAGGATCATGTCCTTTTCCTTCAACATATTTGTTACTGGCAGGACCAGAAAAACGGTAGAGTCATAAAACACTATTTTTAACCAAATAGATAAAAAGATCTTTCTGGATTATTTCAAGATACACTGAAATAAAGCAGGTACAGCGAGATCCCTCTTTTATTCCTCTTAAGTCTTGTTTTCTAGGCTTAAAACCCCCAATTCACAAAAGCTAACTACTGTCTGTACTGCTCCCAAGGTTGAAATCTATTCACAAAAGATGGAGGGAAAAAAAAGCAATCTACTGACTTTAGGAAAGTTATTTTCAAAGTATGCAAAGGCAGAAAGAAAATTAAGCTCCTAGACAAATTATATTTCTTCCATGGGCACAATATTTATATTCTGTTTACTGAAAGGTGTTTCTAAGATACAAATCATGAGCTCATCCTTGAAGCTTAACAGAACAAAAAGTACAAGATCTTCCTTGGCAACATTCACTATTCAAGTACCCTGCTGAGCTTATCCACCTACACATTTTGTGTTTATTGTCTTATGTTTCCTTCAGTCCTAGAGCTCCTGTGCATCTCAGCAACACAGATTATCTTTCTATGTGGGTACAAACCTCAGGCTGCCCCCAACAGCTTCAATGCCACGAGTGATCCTGAAGGAGGAAGCTCCTTTGGTAGTCTATTAAACAAACAAAAAAAGGGCAACTTACAATTCTAGCTGTTTAAAACACAGATATTGAGTTGATGGCAGCAGTAAGAAAAACTACTCAGAAATATTCCACACATGCACAAAACTGAGTTTGTGTCAACCACCTGAACTAATTATTACTGCAGCTTGAATAGAATTAGTTATGTGTATATATATATATATATATATATATATATATATATATATATATATATATATATATATATATATATAGTTTAAGACTCCAGAGGAAAGCACAATTATAAATGAGTACTTCCCATCTTCCAGGACACACTATCATTTCTCCTGCACTGAACCACATAACCAAGTACCACGGTACATTGTTCTCCACTTCCTAAGATCTCTTACATTAAATTTTATCACACCATTTATTTTTGCAATAATAAACCATTTCACCTACTGTCAACATAATAACAAAGGCAATAAACACCTACCAAATTAGATGCAAGACGAAGGAGGTGAGTAGTTCCCAGGTTACTGTTGATTTCATATCTGCTGCCTGCTTTAATAAACACACCAATTTTTGAAACTGGAGAAAAGTTTTCCAGAGATGCAATAACTAAGCCATTTGGTAATTTTGTGATCTGTATTAAAAAGAAAAAAACTTTTGTTTTCATTCAGTGGAAGTACTATCACAGCTCTGCTTTGACTGAGTTTTAAAAAATAAATTTAAAACAGAGGGAGGAAAAAACCAACCTGTATTTTTATACTGACCTCAAGACCCTGGGAGTCTGGACATAATTTCACCTTTGCTGCAGTTGGTGAAGATGAAACTTTAGGAGCTACTTTCAGTGAGTAAAATCTCTTCTAAAGGAGAAAGCATAAGAGAAGGGATTCCCTTAATTAGTTCATCACATTTCCTTAAATACTGAAAAAGAATCTGACTTTAAAGCAGAAATACAATTAAGGACTTCAAACACTGAAGTAAAAACAGTGACATGTAGGTAAATCCCCAGACTGTGGGCCTCTTAAAATAGGTCCAGAGGAGGCCATGAAGATGATCAAAGGACTGGAGCAGCTCTGCTACACAGGCTGAGAGAGCTGGGGTGTCCAGCCAGGAGAAGGTTCCAGGGAGACCTCACTCCTTGCTGTGAAGAACCTTAAAGGGCTCTTAAAAGAAATAAAGAGGGACCTTCTACATAGGCACATGGTGACAGGACAAGGGGAAATAATTTTAAACTGTCACAGAGTTATATTAGATTTCTGGAAAAAATTCTTCCCTGTGAGGTAGTGAGGAACTAGAACAAGTTGTCCACAGAATTTCTGCATGCCTCATCCCTTGAAGTCTTCAAAGCCAGGCTGGATAGGACCTGGAACAACCTGGTCTAGTGTAAGATGTCCCTGCCCATGGCAGGGGGCTGGAATGACGTGATCTCTAATGTCCCTTCCAACTCAGACCATTCCATGATTCTAATGTTCCAGGATTTTAATAACCAGAAGCAGTCCTTCACAGGAAAGAGGTGAATACCACAAGAGCCCTGCATTCAGCAGCTAGCAACAGAAATGACAAGACTATTGATTTCAAATCTGAAATGCTATTACTTTCCACTCACTTCAGAAGTTGCTTATACTAGTAAACTTACAGATTACTCTTGTTTTCACGTTAAAAAACAACTTAATTCCCACGCATCCAAGGTGAAAGCCGAGTTTTCAGGAACACCACTGCACTGGGCTGTACACATGCCAGAGATGTAATTCCCATTGCTTTACCAGAGACTGTTCATTGTATCTAGGAAAAACTCCTTTCCTCCTGCACCAAGGGTTTGGTAAGACACCTAGTTCTAAACTCTAAGTCTACTTATTTATGAACCCCTACTGCATATCTAAAACTGACTGACACGCTGTCACTCAGAGGTCATTGTCCATCCCGCTGGAGCGCATTTCCAGCACGCATCCAGCACAGTTCCACCCAGCTGTCCGCCAGCTCTGCGAGAGCTTTGGGCAGGACAAACCCTCTGCCCCTGCCCGCCCCCAGGACGCGGCAATGCCAAGGGCACCACCTCATCCCAGGCAGCTGAAGCTTCAGCAGCGCACCGGGATCCCCTCACCTCCCTTCTCCCCGTGCCCCGTGTGCCGCCGCCGGGCGGCTCTGCCAAAGCCCGGGGCGCCGCTCGCCGCTCCAGGCCCGGCCCGCGGCCTGTCTGACCTTCAGCCGCCGTCCCGCCGCGCCACCCGCCCGCCCGCCGGCCCGGCCCCAGCCCCGGAGCCCACACCGACCCCGCGGGCAGCCGGGCAGCCGGGCAGCCACGACCGCCACCCGCCGCCCCCCGCCCGGCTCACCGCCCCGGGCTGGCCGGGGTCAGGCTCGCCCGCAGCCCCCGGGCCCAGACAGCGGCTGTCACCGCCAGCTGCGCCTCTCCCGCGCCGCGCACGACGCGCCCGGATCCCGCTCACCGAGAGAGAGCGCGCGGCCACCGGGAACCCCTTCATCGTCCCGCTACCCTCGGCTCGGCCCCGGCCAGGACAAGATGGCTGTCCCGGAGGAAGACCCCGCCTTCCCGGCACGCCCTGCGCCGCTCTGACCTTCCAGCGAGCGCACCCCGAACTCGACTGCTCCGGCGGGCGGCGCGCCGGGCAGCAACAGCGCCACCGCGCGGGCACCGGGGGCTGCCAACCTGCGGGGGTGTCGCCCCCTCCCGGGCACTGTGGGCCGTGACACCCTGCGGCGAGCGGGGTCCCAGTGCGACGGTCCCTCGGGAATATACCCGGGAATGTGGCCCGGAATGACTCTCGGGGCCATGCCTCGGGGCGCGGGGTGCCGCTGGCGGCTGTCGTACGGGCTGTCCCTCAGGACGCGGGACCCCAGGCTGGCTGTGCCCAGTCTATGTCAGGGCCATTCCGTGGCGTTCGCAGCCGCCTTCCCCCCGAACGCCGCCTGGGTGAGGCGGGACAGCGGCGGTGCCCGCGGGTACGGCAATGCCCAGGGCACCGGAGCCACACTCGACCAGGATTTCAGCGCGGACATCGCGGTGTCCGCCACGCCCGTGAGGGGCGTGGGGCGCGGAGGCGGAGCCGGGACGGGCGGTTTCGTTCCGCGGGGCGGTTCCGCGGCGGGGCCGGCGGCAGCGGGGCCGCCCCGGCGAGTTCTTAGCGGCGGTGCGAGCGGTGTGCTGTGTCGCACTCTCGGAGTCCCGACATCCCGTCCCGTCCTATCCTACCCTATTCTATTCTATCCCATCCTGTCCTGTCCCGTCCGCCCGGCTCACGCCATGGGCTCCACTCCTCCCGTGTTCATCGGCGCCGAGGAGGTGGAGAAGCACCTGCACCGCGCCAGCCTCCTGCTGCCGGCGCTGGAGGCCGCCCTGGCCAACTTCTCCGAGGGCGCGGTGGGCGGCGTGGTGCAGCCGGTGCGCACCGTGCTGCCCGTGCCCCGCCACGGCGGGTGAGGGCTCGGCGGGGCTGCCCGAGGGACGGCGGCAACGGGGGGCAGGGGCCGGGCGGGCGGGTTTGGGGCATCAGAAAAGGCCCTCGGTACCGAGTTACCGATTGAGCGGCCGGTAGCGGTGTGACGGTCGCTGTCCGTGAGCTCCCGTGATAGCGGTGCGCGAGTAACGCAGGAAATTCTCCCCCGAGGTACCTCGGAGTCATGCCCGCGTACAGCGCTGCGGACGACGCGCTGACAACCAAGTTGGTGACTTTCTATGAGCACCTGAAGGACTCCTCCGTGCCTTCCCACCAGGCGACTGTGCTCCTGTTCGACCCCAGCAATGGCACTTTGAAGGCTGTAAGTCTCGTGTGTCCTGCGTTCTCCTCTGCTCATGCTGTCCGTTCTCACTTCTGCTTCTTGGAAGCTGGAGCTGGTGTAAATTGGCCTGAATTTACCAACAGGATTTGGCTTAAAGCTGTCTGTATTTCGCTTCTGTTAAACCGTACTCTCCGTGCTATTTACTGAAGCCTGTGATTTGAATCTGATAGCTCAGAGTGTAACTGGAAGAGAGAAATGATTAGGAGTTTATCTTACATTTGAAAGCAAAAATGTGTCCGTCCCCCCCCCCCCCCCCCACCTTGCTGGGTAAAGAATGGATCTTGAACCATCTTAAGTCTCAAGTTGAAAGAGGTTTACAATTTGCATTGCAGGGACTAGTCTTCAGAGTCTGATTGCTTTTTCTTTATTTAAAGAATTTACGATTTTTTTTTCCTAAGAATAGTGATGATTTGCATTGCAATTTAGTAATAATGATTTATTAATCATTAATAAATGATTCATTAATCATTTATTAATCAGGGACAAAACTGGTCAAGAAAACTTTCTTGGGTTCTTCTACTAAACCCCTTGAGTTTTTTGCCCCATAATTAATATGTATGCAGTAGCTAATGCACATTTGAGGAATTCCATGGTTCCCTGTCACCCCTCTGTACAGACCAGGACAGAATGGGGAATCACTGCCAGCTTGCACTGCTCCCTTCCTGGAGCACAGAGTATTGGAGTCACATCCATGTGTTCCCTGTGCTGGAGAGCCAGGGAAGTGCAGTGCCTCAGGAGCTGGGTGAGTTAGAGGAGGCTCTTCTCTGATCATTTTCACTCCTTTTGTGCTGATGGAATGATGTGGAGGAACTGGGAAAAACAGAGGAGCTGCCCAGTTTAAATGTTACTTTGTATGGATTGTGGTTGCTGTGATAATAATTGCTGCCTTCTACATGTGTATATCTTTTATATCTGTAACATCACATCATTCCCAAGTTGGATGAGTTTGGTATTTATTCATTTTTCAGTGTTCACTTCAGTCTGTTTGAATTTTTTAAAGGTCATGGATGGCAGTGTCATCACAGCAAAACGAACAGCTGCAGTTTCTGCCATTGCTACCAAGGTGTGTCTTCTGTTCTCTGAGTGGGGCTTGGAGTTATAAAATAACTAGAACAAATGATGCAAATGCCTTTTCATCCAATTCAGCTTTAAATTAGATTTATCATAACATATGCACTTTCAGGGAAAACTTAAACTCACTGTTTTGAGTCTGTCATGTTTGGCTTTTACACTTTGTCTGTGATTGGAGAAGGAACCTGAGCTATATTTTTGTAGCTTCAGTTGCCCCTCTTCTAGGAATTTACTGAGCTGTCGTTCACTGTATTTTATTTCTTTTGTGTTTGTTTTAACATGCCCCTTTATGGCTTTGGGTGATGTAGCTGTGGTGATATATTGAATTTTATTTAGGTAGATGCCTTCTGCTGTCAGGACAGGACAGGTGGGTGGCACTGGACCTGTAAAAAGAGGGGTAAAGCACATTTCCATTTCTTTTAAGATAGATGATGCCCAGTATAGATGGATAACTTGTCCAGAGGTGTCTGTCAGTGTCTCTGTTGTCACTGGAAGGTGTCCAGATGCCTGTCCCTGACCATGGCCATAAATTTCAGTGTCTAAAGCCAGGTGAGGTGTATCTGGCTGTGCATTGCTTTCTATCACTGCCATTTCAGCTGGAAATTGTTGTGTTGGGTTTCTTTTTTAAATGCTGTTTTTGGTTTGGCTGCTAACATCAGGAAGAGAGCAAATGGCCGCTCATTGCACAGCAGGGTTTGAGCCTTCACCTCAAAGGCTGAGGCAGTAAGAAGAGGGCCAGAGCTGAAAAATTGTGTTGTTTGTCACTCCTCAGCTTTGCATCAGAATGAAGGCTGATCTCACTGTTTTGTGAGGGGCAGTTCATGCCAGGGTGACTCTATCCATGGCAATGGAGCTACACTGGCATAAAACTGAGTGAAGGACCTGTCCCCAGGAGCTTCTCCTGAACCAAAGGACAGAATGATTTACAATGAGCTCCTTGGACAGGAGGTTACAGGACCTCATTCATTTTGGCCATTCTGTATTTGGTCAGTTCTATGGTTTTTATGCAGTCCATGCTGGCTTCAAAGGAGTTTGGCTGCTGAAGGTACTTCAAGATCAGGTCTTTCATTGTCATGTGTTCTTTTGGAAATTTTCAGGAGTGTTTGAGTTTAGCTCATATTTGTCATCTTGTTTTTATGGCGTTTGCTTTTCACAGACCCCTGTTACGCAAAGGACCTTTGAAATCTGGGCTTCACAGCCTCTAAAAGGCACATTAAAACAAATTCTTACTACTGGGAAATGGCATCAATGAGATTTTTCTCCATTTGTTAGCAGCGGAATAAACCTTGAGAGCCTAGACAGTTCTAAAGCTTTTTAGGCAGGAGTGAGTGCCCACAGCAAATGCATAAACAAGACACAAGGATAGTTAGGGCTGGACTCCAGCAGCTCTGTCTTCCTCTTTGCCAAGTGCTGGTGAATCACAGACAAGAACTAAAACAGAGAGCCAAAAACAATTGTGGAACTGAATTTTATTATTTGTTCCTCAGAACCATCCCTACTTTTACCATGTCTCTGTATTATGGCACTTGCAGTGCCAGGATATGCTTGTGGTGTGATTTATGGCTCTAGTGAATGCAAAGAGGTGGATTGGTGTGGGGCTGCCAGGGCCAGTTTACCTGTGCAGCTGCCACTCTCAGTCCTGATGGTTTTTGGGGTTCTGAGCCCTGCTTTCAGCCAGTGCAGAACACCAGCACTGTGCTTTTACACTTAATCAGCCACATGGGTGTGTTAATATTGGAGTGTGCAGAGGCCCCAGAACTTGCTGTTCATGCTGTTGCATCTTAAATCTGAATTTAAAGTCAGACAATTCAACACTGGAATTAAGCCAAGATGTGCTTTGGTGCTGCTGATGCTTGCTTGTGCATTAAAAAAAAGGCCAAATATATATGGTGAATACTTTATTAATATACTTTTGTATTGTTTAAAAGTACTAACAATACTTTTGTAGTATTTTGAAATATATTTGTAATGCCTGTTAATATATTATCCTTACATATTCTCTTTTGATTTTTTATTCCTGATCCTGTTCAGTTGTTGATGCCACCTTTTGCAGAAGTGCTGTGCATTTTGGGAGCTGGTGTTCAAGCATACAGCCACTATGATATCTTCACAGAACTGTTCACATTTAAAGAGGTAACAGACACTTTTGAAGAAGATACATTTATTTTTCTCTAGCAGGATTCATTGTAAAGAAAGTACAGCCTGTGAAGTTGTATCAGCTCAGGCTGGGATGGAGCTCCTGTTCCCAGGGCAGCCCTCACAGTGCTGTGCACTGATACTCCAGGGCTCTGATAACACCCCAGTGTTTTTGCTGCTTCTGAGCAGTGCTCACACAACATCAAGGTTGTCTCTGCAACATTTGTTTCTGTTCTATTGAACTGTCTTTATCGTATCAAGTTTTAAAAAAATTTTTTCCATCTTGTTTTCTCTTCCCTCTCCCTGTGCTGCTGGGGAGGGGAGTGGTGGAACAGTTTTGTGGTATCCAGCTATGGTCATTCCACCATAAAAGTTAAGATTAACCACATTTTGGTTCTGTTTCTGCAGAACCCAAGAATAGTCAGAGCAGCAAGAATTTCTTGCTCAAATGTTGGTATTTTAAAAGAAAAAAGGTTGGAATCAAAGTTGTTTCAAATAACTTTTTGTCTGAGAAGATCCTATTGTATATGCCATACTTGGATAAGTTTTTTATGACTTTCCTTTAAATGTAATTTTCAGAAACGTTTGCATTTTATAAGAATAATCTCCTCTACAAGGAGATGTTATTCTAGCATCACAAACAGGCATTCAAATGTAGCTGAACACTCCTGAAATTTACTCACTTGTACGATAAGAACATGAAAGGGGAAAAAAACTCCAGCCTTTAGGAGATGTTTAACTATTTACTGAAAACTTGTAACTTGTTCTGTTTCAGCAAGGAGAAGTGCTCCATGTTGACCCATGTGTGTTTGGTTGTGTTTCCCCCGAGGTGAGGATCTGGAATCGCACCAAGGAGAGGGCAGTGCAGTTCGCCAGCACTGCCGGCGGCCCCGTGCGGGTCTGCTCCTCCGCGCAGGAGGCGGTGACAGGGGCCGATGTCATCGTGACAGTCACCATGGCAACGGCTCCCATCCTCTTCGGGGACTGGGTGAAGCCAGGTGCCCACATCAACGGTAGGTTCTGTTCCTTTGTGTACAGCAGGTGTTTATTAGCACTTTGTTTAGCATCACCATCTGCTGAGAAGCAGTTCTCTGTGCTCCGTGGAGTGAATGTTCTTTACATTTTGACTTTTCCACCTTACTGAGGACCCCTTTTCCCAGCCCTGTCCTCCTGGAGTCAGAATGCCTGCATAATCCATTTTTGCTAGAGCATGGGATTTGCTCTATTCCCATGTACTCTTTTCTCTTAGTGGTGCATCATTGTGGCATTTTCGGGGTTCCCCAGATGGAGGAGGAAATGATGAATCTGACTCCATGTTCTTAGAAGGCTAATTAATTATTTTATGATCTATATTATATAAAAGAATGCTATGCTAAAGAAGACTAAACTATACTAAAGAGTAGAGAAAGGATACTTACAGCAGGCTAAAAGATACTAATGAAAAAGTTGTGACTCTCCTCAGAATCCAACACAGCTGGACAGTGACTGGTCATTAAGTTAAAACAATTCACATGAAACCAATGAAACAATCACCTGTTGGTCAACAGTGTCCAAACCACATTCCAAAGCAGCAAAACACAGGAGAAGCAAATGAGATAATATTGTTTTCATATTTCTCTGAGGCTTCTCGGCTTCCCAGGAGAAGAATCCTGGGCAAGGGGATTTTTCCAGAAAATATGACAGTGGCACATCATCCTTGCCCTCATGTTGTCATTATTCTCACCTTGCTCCCTATTTAAATAACCCATACAAATATTCTTATTTCTAGATAGTTACTGCTCATTGTTACATTGCCCTGGTGGTGTCATCTTTTCTTCCACCAATTTTATAATCTCCTCTATTTGTTTCTTTTGGGGCTGATCACACCAATTTACTTTTTTACTTGAGTTATGAAGATGCAGTAACTGAGTTAAGAACATCATAATTTAACCTCTAATTATAGTGAGGTTTGGAGTGGTGCTTTTTTTGTTGCCTGCCTTGTAATGATGTTGCCACACTATTGTTTGGAGTCTCTGGATGTGCCTCTGTTTGTTTATTTTCATTAATTGTGGGGCTTTTTCAGATGACCTTGTGCACTTTCCAGATAGCCTGGTAATAAGACAAAAGCAAGTTCTCAAAGGCAGCAATTTAAAGAAAGGTCCCACATTCCAGCAGCTTCCTACCAATTTTTCAAACTCGATTTAGTCCTTTGTCATTGAAAGTTGTTGTGTCATGGCAGGGAAGTCAGAAATAGAACAAAATCAATTAAGATCCACAGTCACTGGGGCAACACAGACACAAAGACCTCTCTCCTTTCCTTACCTTTTTTTACCCTTCATTGAAGCATTTGTACTGTTTGGAGAGGCATTTGAGCAACAAATGCAAATTTGTTGTTCTTTAACAGCTGGGTGTGTAAAAAATATCTGAATACAGTATAATTGGGTAGTCCTTTTAGCTTTTGTTTGGTTTCTTGTTTGCTTGTTTTTTAAGCCCAAAACAAGTTGATGATCTTGGTGCTGTGTAAAAAAAATTAAGCTCCATGATTTGTTTTCAGTTTCTCTGGGTAAGTGATAATCTAATTAAGGTGTGAAAAATTCCTTTGGTAATGATCTGATGAAAACAATGGTATAAAAGGTAACAGACAAAGGGAGAGGATTTTCTTTTGCCTCAGCTACTCAGACTCTTCTGACAAAGCTGTTTTACTGACATATCAAATCTTGAATGGGGTTTTTTTTGTTGTCCTATCAATCAGTATTTGTCCAAGGCTAACACTGGAATTTTGGTACATTACATTTCCATAATAATGTTGATTGTGACTTCACACGTGTCTTTTGAACAAAATGCGGTTGGAATTTGTTTTAAACATTGCTCCCAAGTTCATCAGTTTTGTTGCTTTAGCTGTTGGAGCAAGCAGACCAGACTGGAGAGAACTGGATGATGAGCTGATGAAGAATTCTGTTCTGTTTGTGGATTCCAGAGACGCTGCTCTTACAGAATCAGGAGATGTTATTTTATCAGGGGTAAGGCTTTCTGAAACAGAGTTCTATTTTTGTGGCAATTGGCTTGCATTTGAAATGAGTTGGTATTGATGATGACCTGCACTGAAACCTTTAGGGCATCAAATGTAATTGTTGATGCTTTCCAGGCAGGGGTTGAAGGATAAACTGGTTAAAAACTGCAATTGCTCTGTCTGTGACCAAACCATGCAACCTCTGTATCTGCCATTATTTGACACCATATTACAGTAGCATGTTTTCAGCACTGGCTTTTGATGGTAACAATGTATTGCTGTTGAAAGACTTACATTTCCTGGAGTGTTTGGTCATCATAAATATTCTTCAAATCTGTTTATTAAAACCTGTAACTTTCTTCCCCTGAGGCTTCAGTGTGATTGACACTGAATGGACCAGCCCAAAGAATGGACCACACAAGCCAAGCAGACAATGATCTGCACAGATTTGCCAGTAGGGATTCTTTGAGCTTCAGTGGAGTTTTCTTTTTCTCTTTTAATGTGTCTGCAGAATAAATATGATTTACACTTTTGAGATTTAACATAAGAGCTCCAGATATGGTAATGTGTGTGGAATCCCATGTGTTTTGTTGGACAAGTAACAAGCTATCCTCTGTAAAAAAACTTACTGAGGAAAGTCTGCCAGCTGTTTTTCTTTGAAAACCATTCTGCTCCTCTGATTTCTGTCCAGTTTCTATATAATTTGTCTGAATGTGGATCTGCTTCACCATGGAAAGTAATCAGTTTTGGGATGCAGCACTGGAGGAGTTCTTTCTTTTGAAGTCATTCAGAAGAAAAGGGGTTTTTTTCCCTCTTAATGTATGTGTGGGTATTATGTTTTTGTATAAATATGTATTTTTTTTCACAGGCGGAGATTTTTGCTGAGCTGGGGGAGGTTTTGAAGGGTACAAAACCAGCCCTGCCTGAGAAAACAACAGTGTTTAAATCATTGGGTAAGAACAGCCCCTCCTGTGCCCAAGTCTGACAGAAAACAATGCCTTGTTCTTTATTAGGTCCCCCATGCGTGGGAAAGCTGCTGATCATCTTCAGAACTGCTGTGGCACTGCACTGTCCACAAGAAAGTAGACTCTGATTTGCATTTTCCCTTTTTATTTCCCTTCTTGTTTATCTAGCAGGATTGATGTAATGAAAAGTGATAGGAAAGCAGACAAACAATACCAGTCCATTTTCCATTTCACAGTTGTTGAAGACATGAGTGCAGCATTTATTAACAGAGCACAGCCCGACTGCCCCGCTGTTCCACCATGGGGTCTGTCTGACCTGGGACAATGTGACACTGTCCTGTGGGGCTGGCCTTGGGGAAAGGGTGCCACTGGGCATGAATTGCCATGCTCTGAGCTACATGACAACTCCAAAAGGGCCCAGTTGTGATATGAACACTGAAAATTAGATTCCTGCTGTTACATTAACTTCATACAGCACACCCAACACCGCATGATGGCTATGGACTTTGAATGTCACACTGTAGGTGTTTGGGATGGGAAATAATTCCTGTTCCTCTCCAGTTAGATCATCTCCTGAGTCTTCCTGTTCCCTTCTGAAGCAAAATTTGTACAGCTGAATAACTGTTTGAAGGTAACTTGAATTCTTTTTCAGGGATGGCAGTTGAAGACACAGTAGCAGCAAAATTTGTTTATGATGCCTGGTCAGCTGGTAACTAAAGAGGGAAGACTACAATGCCAGTGAGGCCAAGAAAATCATTTGCACTTAGTTTCCATGAATCCTGTGCTAACAAGAAAGGCACCAATCCTATCTACATGTGGCCCTTCTAGAACACTCAAGAAGGAAAAGTAAAATTTCAGCAATGGACTAACTTCTAAAGTCTTCTAATTTCAAATATTGGATACTTGCAGTATTGTTAATAAATGTCTCTCTTTTGTAACAGCAAGTATGTTTGCAGTGATACTAACAAGGGTACTTTCCATATTTTGGTATCATTCTGGAATCAATGCTTTTCCTCTCTAATTTATGTAGCAGAAGCCTGTGTGTAGATTTCGTGGTTTTTAGAGGGATAATTCATTCTGGTGTAAAATAGATCAGTTTGTAGAATGGGCTCTGGCATCATATTTACCTGTGAGGGTACTTTAGATGCAGCTGTGGGTTTCAGTGCTCCAGTGACAGTGACTTTGTCTTCAGGCTCCAAGGCACACAGCCCTCCTCTGGCTCCTGGACACACCTTCCCTTCCAGCTCACTGGAAATCACCATTTTCTCACCCCTTGCAATCCACCTTGCTTTGCCCTCAGACTTGGTGGTTTTTCACTGAGGGCACAGTTCTGAGTGGGGGTTTATGTGATAAAATAATACCTCCCTCCAGTTGGGTTTCTCCTTAGTACCTCCCTTAGTACCTGCCTCACTGGATATTGCCATTTTCACATTGCAAGGAGTCACACAGCATGTGAGGACTAATATGTGTTTTGATTTAACTTTTATCTCAATTCTGTAGGGAGATTTTGCTGTTAATCTATGGTGCCTCTGAGTTGTTTTGCTAAGCTTCTTGAAGGCTGGAACCACACAAACTGATTTCAAGTATGCAGGCAAATCTTTTCAGTTAGGCTGTACCATGCTTCAATTGCTAATTGTTCTGTTATCACAGATATTAGCTGAGGCAGGAATTTTCATGATCCTTTCCTGGCAGAGGAGCCCAGTCACATAAGGAAAAGTTCCAGTTTTGTGCTGTTATGCAACTGCCTTGCAAAAGAGTGAGCATCTGCTGAAAAACAGCTATTGCCCTGGAAACAAATTCCTGTCTCAGGCTCACAAGTTGTGCCTTGTGAAATTTTATTTCCATTTTCACATTATTTCATGCAGGCTATTAAGTGTTTCTTCCTGCTGTGGAAGAGCAGGATGACATTTTATAACATGCCAGTAGAATAGAGCAGAGCAACAGGAAGCAGGGTCAGGAGCAGCTGGCATTAAAGCCCTGGAGGGTGCATAGGTAGGTGTAGAAGAGGTTAATGAGTACAGTGCAGGTGTGATGTAAATAATACTCCCAGTTGTAAGCCTGGTGTAAGCTGGTTGGAAAATGTACTAAGTGGCAGAGGTAGCATAGAAAGGTACCAGAGCACTGATAGGCCTGAAGGATGTTTGGTGTGGATCCAAACTGAACCCCACTGATCCTGTTTATTCCATCAGAAAAAAACCAACAGAAATTTCTCTGTGAGCTTCGGTGTTTTAACTGTAGCAAAATTACCCTTCTGTTTTTACATGTCTTGTTTCTTCTCTGTTATTTCTGAAGTGTTCAGAAGCTTGTGTTGACTTAGTTTCTTGGTTCATTCATGCAGAGCTACACTAACCTGAGGTAAACATGAAAGCAGATGATGCTCCATTATTCAATGACTCCACAGAAACTTGCAATTAATAATTATAACAATATTATCCCAGGTCTGGGCCAGTGGTATACCAGATTTGTAATTTGAAGTGAGATGTAGTGTTTGGGAAGAAGATAAATCCAGTTTATTTTCACATGTACTCCCCTACAGACTATGGACTTTAAAAAATAAATGGAGCCAGTCCAAAGACCTGGTTCTGGAAACCCACATTGTTCTCGGCTTCATTGGCAGTGGGAGATTTTGGGAGCCTGGCTTCAGTGTTGTACCTCTGATGTCATGAAGTTCAGCTACAATGGGAATTGCTTGGATGCCACCTTTAGATTTTCTGAGGGGAAATATTAGCATCAATTTCTATGTTTCCTTCTCTTACAAACTAATGGATCATGAAATTGTGTAACTTGCATTTATATTAAAATTAAATAGATACTGCTGTTTGTCTTTGACGCTCATTTTGTTGTCCATTTCTTTTCTAGTTTGTGGTTGATTTATTTGATGACAAGAAAGAAAGTATTCAAGTTGTTGCAGTGACTGCTCTCTCAATAAATGTGATCACTGAATGTAAATGGAAGAAATAGGGAGTTCTCTGTTCCTCTGTGATATTCAGATTTTCAGTTGTCCTATGCTGCACATTTTCTGAATGTCTGTTCAGTGCAGCGTATTAAATCCTTAAGAAGGAGAACCTTGTACTTGGTGGAGCTGTGCTTGTGTGAGATTGCCTGGGTGTATGGTTTGGGTTTGGGTTCTGCTCTAGGATTGCACATGTGGCACATAAAATCTCTCCAGCTGAACTGAAAGGAGTCACAGCTGGGCTTCCAGTGCTCCCAGGCTCTAAAGGAAACAAAGAGATTGATAAAATCTGAAAAGAGCAAAGCACATGAGTGCAAAAAGCCATCATGGAAGGTTGCACAGAACAGGACTTTGATGTGATTGCTTAATAAAAGAACATATCAACCTTCTGTGTGCAGGAATCCAAGCAGGGAAGAATGCAGTATAAAGTCCATCCAATAAAAGATATTATAATATACAAATCACAGTCACAAAATGATGTGGAAAGAATGAACATTAAAAAACCAGATCATTAACCAGGATTAGCATCCACAAATGCAGCAGAGCCCTAAGGAAAAAAATCATAGCTGGCTAATGGAAAGATATAAAAAGAGCTTTAAAGATAAATGTTCTGCTAGTGAATGTGCTTGCAAAATCTGTGATTTTAGCCAGAGCATGGCTGCTAAAAGCACTTTATTAGATTCACAAAGCTCAACAGGAGTGCTTAATTTATATCTAATAGTGCTGGCTTCCCAGGGGAACTGGGGAACCCTGCTGTGAATGCCTCCAGATAGAGTGGGAAGAGCAGGAGCTTCCACAGCGGCACAACTCCTTTTCTTTTTTTATTTTTATGAGCTGTGTGTGATGCACAGCTCTCAGGCTAAGGTTGACAACAACCCACAGAAAATGGTGTGGGATATGAATCCTCATTTCTGGGACTTTGCATGGAAAATGCAGCCTATAGGAACCAAGCTGGGGATATACCAAAATAGATCCAAGATTTTGAAAGTTAAACCTCAGTTTCTTGCAGTTAAAAGTATTGCAGCCTCGATGACATTTAGGACATAATGGGTGCTGGCAATTGGATCCAGTCTAATGAGACAAGAAAGGAATATTCAACTCACACTGAACATCTCTTGGGAAGCTACTTCGTGTATTTTTAAATTATTGTCAATACAGAAGTAAAAACTTTACTGACAAATATATGAAACTTACAGTGAATTAGTCTTATTTACATTAATTCAGAGGTGATTAGAGTCAATAAATCAGAGCTGAAATCAAGATTCAGATTCCTTTCCTAACATACACCAGTACTAGGAAGAGAGGTTTTACTGATCCTTCAGAAGCAAATGGAGAAAACTCAAAGCTCTCAGGCTCTGAGAATGCTCTTTGCATTGTGGTTTTGGAGAAGAAAGGAAGGGCTTTATTAAGGAATGCAGCTGGCCTGGCCTTCACTGGTATTTGAAATTATCTGGACCAAAAGAAATCCAATCCACATAAACAGTTCAGGGAGAGAAAGCTTTTTGGTTTTTAACTTCACATTTTTGCTTTTTGGCAGAATATACTTAATATGCTGTTCACCAGAACTACTCATCCAGAGAGAAAAAATGTTATCCCTCTGTACTTCCCAAAGCAATTGGTAACTTCTCTGCCTTTTGCTTTAGCAGACTCCTGAAAATAGTTGAACACTGGAAAAAGGGAAAATTAATGAATCAGTGTGTAGGTAACAACAACAGATATTATAATTTATAAGCAAGTATCCACAGTTTTTCCAGGGTTCTCAAGTGCCTGTTTTCTTTTATTCACAGCATTCAGGACTTTCTTTCTTGGCCCAAGCTCCATCTGAATGCTCTGTAGATCTTCATCAGAACATAGCATCAGGGCATCTAAATCAATTTTTTCCCTCATAAAGACTGGAAGAAACTCATCCAGCATCTGTGATGCCAGAAATACCTCAAGGGGTGTATTCTCTGTTTCCTCATCATCCCAAACCACTTCTTCCTCATTCCAAGGGACATCAGCGCTGTTTTCAGCATCACCTTCCCTGCCGTTCTCAGCGCTTTCCTGCTGAAAGAGTTCACTGGCTATTGTATCTCTTATACCTTCTTTCTCAGAAGACACAGTTTCAGGATTTACCTCTGCAGCCAAATTCCTTCCAAATACAATCTTGCCAAGACCTGGCCGCTGAAAAATGGAGAACTCACTGTCATTACCGGCATGGTTTTTCTCTCCAAGGTCATTCAGTAGTTCATCCTCCTCTTTCTCATCAAACAAATGCATCACACTTTTCCTACCCATATCATCCTCTTGGTCATTCCTTTGTGTTTCCTGTCTTCTTGTGCTGTCAGTTGTCCTTTTTGTCTTGAGTTTCAAGGTATCTTTCAGGTTTTTGGTTAAAGTACTTGTGGCATTTGAAGTAAATAGCCCAGGCAACTTTACCCTGGAGTGCGTTCCTTTGGAAGAATTCACCGTGCCAACCTTTTCTTTAATATAATTCCTGTTCATTTCCTGCTGGTGTTTCTCCTGGCGCTTCTCACACTCCTTGATTTGTCTCTCCACATTCCTCTGGGCCTGTGCCTTTTGTTTGGAGACCTTCTTTGGGTTCAGCAGGTTCTGCTCGGTGGCAGCCCTGTCCAGGATCTGCACGCACTCCCTGCGGTCCCTGCTGGCAGCTGCCTCCAGCGGGGTGCGCAGGTCGTTGTCCAGAGCAAAGATGTTGGCCCCGAAGTTCACCAGAAAGGAGACACAGTGGATGTGGCCATTGCAGGCAGCGTGGTGCAGGGGCGTGTTCCCCCAGATGTCACACTTGTCAGGGTCACCCCTGCCAGGGAAAACAGCACACAGTGAGCAGGGTACCCACACTGAGCTCTGACACCAAACGTGTCACTGTGCTCTGCTCTGAGGAGAACAGCCCAGGGACAGTGGCTCAGCTTGGCCCCAGCTGCTAGAACAGGGCTGCACCCCCTGGCACAAGCCCTGAGTGTGGATCTGTGTGTGTGCCACGAGCT